TCCATCTCAAAAAAAAAAAAAAAAAAAGAACTTTGTTAGATACTATGGGCATCTCAGTTAAAACTGCTTCTTTCCACCATTTATTTTCCACTGTAAGGGCTTGTTGTTATTGGTTTATACCTGACTCTCATAATCAATTAAATTTAGCTGCTTGGGAAGAAGTAGGTGAAGAAATGAAACACTTCCACCAATAAGGAAATATCGTTGATAAAGATATTTGGGCTGTTTACCATCTTGTCAAATTAGCTTAGCTCTTTTGTCGGAGGTAAAAGTAAAACATCCAAACCCCCAACTCCTCCTGATCCTGAGCCTGACAGTGCAGTCACAGACCTTATTAAATTATCCATTTTGGATAAGGCTGATGGTGCTGGCCAGGAAGACAAACAGAAAGAAAAGGAGACCCCAGACAATGAAGGAGATCAAAACTCCTGTTTCTCTAAGGATGGTGCTGTAGGAGGGGAAGAACTTCCCCTATCTGCATCCATTCAATCTCTCCACCACAAAATGACTGATGTCAAAGATTTCATTAAAGAATGTTATGATATGATAGAGAAGGCCAGGGTTTCACCCTCTACTCCTCCAGAGCCTTTGTTAGATATGACCATTCCATCATCTGTTCCTCCTCTTGCATTTCCACAGCCTCCAGTTTCTGACTTTTTACCACCACCTCCTCCTCCAACACCTATATTGGAGGATGAGCCGAAACCTTTAAAATCTATTACAGCCCTTGTTGAAAATCCACAGCCATTAAGGTCTCAACCTCCATCACCAGATAACAATAGATCTAGTAATAAGCAAATTTTTCCTTTAGAAGTTTCATTGAGGTCTCAGCTTCCAACCATTGAGTATTGTTCTTACGAGTCTACTAGTGTAAAAAGGGTTGCTTTTCCTAATCCTAGAAACCTCAGACTTTTAGATGATTTGGAAGTACCATGCGATACGTATAATTTGCCTCCTCTTCCAACAAATAATCAGACTCTAGGTCTAATTATGCCCATTACTGGTGCTGCAGCACAGAGAGCTGGAGGCAATCAGCAAGGAGGAAGTGAGCTCCACCAGCTGGACCCGTTGCACCGGTACAATACACTGAGGTTGATTTAAAGTTTTTAAAAACATTAAAAGACGGCTCGCCGCCTATAGCTCAACCAGCTAAGGCCCCAGCCACGTATACCTAAGGTGGCGGGTTCGAATCCCCAGCCCGGACCCGCCAAACAACAATGACGGCTGCAACCAAAAAATAGCCAGGCGTTGT